TCGAGCAGCTCCACTGCTTGCAGGAGCTTAGCACCGCCATCAGTCACCCCGATTGGTGGACACTGCTTGCCATTGACGAGCCCACCTTTACGGAGCTGGTGTGGGAGTTCTACACCACGTTCGAGTACGACAAGAAGAAGCCTCGAGACGCCCATGTAGTGAAGTTCCGGTTGGGTGGCCGCCCCCGACAGCTGACCATTGACGGGTTGGCCTCCGCATTGGGGATCCAGTACAACCCGTTCGATGGCCACACGGTTGAGCTCCCGAACCCGCCCGACTGGCACCAGGATCATTTCTACAGGCGTGTCGTCCGGGCCGCCTATGGGGATGACTTCTTTGTGGCTGGCCAGACCTACGTCAGCACTCTCAGGCCGGAGTGGCATATTCTGAACCTGCTGATCACCCGCTCCATCGTCCCCAACGCCACCGGCTCCCACAAGGTCCCGAAGCGGGTCCTCTACGCCATGTCTTGTATGGGGGATCCGGAGGACATGCTCCACTTGGGATCTTTCGTGGCCACCACCTTCTCCAGAGTCCACGGGAATCCCACTCACCTCTTCTGCGGTCCTCTGATCACCCGGCTGGCCCGCCACTTCGGGATCAGCTTCGAGGGGCTTCATGATGCGACCGAGCAGGGCGGCTCCGCACCCCTCAGCCGGGATGTGCTCCACAGTGCACGCCTCCTGGCCACTGACGACATCCGCACCTGGGTGGATGGGCTCTCTATGCCCCCCGAGGAGGTTGTGGATCTTGATGAGAACGAGGAAGATGATGACTACGTAGGCGAGGAGGTAGATGAGGATGCTGATGATGATGATGACGGCGCTATGGATGCCGATGAGCCGGAGCCCCCGCTCTCCCCGCCTGGGGATCTTCAGCCTCGACGGAGACCAGTGAGAGGTGAGTCCTCCTCTGGTCCTTCTGGTCCGTCGATGGACTTCTTCACGGAGCAGTTCCAGCAGATGGGGCTCCAGTTCCAGCAGCTCGGTCTTCAGAACCAGCAGCTCATGGACCATCAGGTCCAGTTTTACCAGCAGTATTCGGCCCACCAGGCCGAGTACCGGTCCAGGATGACGGGCGTTGATGAGCGCCTCGGCCGATTGGAGACCCACATGGGACACACTACTGCTCTCATCGAGCGGGAGAGAGACCGAGGCCGCCGTCTGATGGAGTATTCCGAGCATCTGATCCAGGCTTGCCACCCTTCAGAGGAGCACCACTGGACCACCCGGTGGGAGCATTCACCGCCACGGCAGCCACCGGATGATGGCGTCGACGACCTTATGGATCAGATTGATTTCTCCGGTCTCGGAGGGCCCTAGGGGCATGTTTTGAGAGTTTTTATATGTGTCAGCGTGCAAACTGTCGGTTTTGTGTCGGTTTTTGTTTCTTTTTCTTTTCATTTTGGATGCTGTGCTATTGGGCTGACTGTTGGACCTAACGTATGTGTTTGAGCTTTTTGGTCTCTTTTAGCTCTGCCTGTGTTCCCGACTGGTCCTCTCTCCAGTCCGTCCCATGCCGACTGGTCCATTTCCAGTCTCCTGCAGTCTGTGCACACCGGTAACATCGTTCCCCTTTCCTTCCATCTTCTCCATTGAGGGCAATGTCGATCTTAAGTGTGGGGGGATGTTTATCTTTAGACTACATTAGCTCTGTTTGTGTTCTTGGAGCCTAGTCCACTGTCCAAATTTTTAAATTTGAGGGCTCCAAGTACGTGTTCCTTGCAATTGCCTGCTCAGTATGCTTTGAATTGACAGTCTCTGTAGTGATTTGCAACCTAGGGAGGTAGTGTAGCACTATGGAGGATGTTGATGCATTTAAGAAGTCTCATTTCTTCTTCATATTGTGTTGGTTGATTGAGTGAATTAGTGATCTTAGGACCCTTGAATTGTGTGGTATTGTGGACTCTCTGCCTGTCATGGACTCTTGTATCATGTTCTGAATGTAACAGGTGCTCGAAATGTGCTTTAAAATAACGTCTCCCGTGCGAATAGGGTGAAAGTATGTAAGGGGAGACGGGAATCCGTTCCCAATTTCCACCTACTACCTCCAGCCCCCTTACATGTCTTTCCCCCGCACGAGGCTCAAGACACCCGCTCCTGGCATGGCCGGTAAGAGCCGGGCTCCCGCAAAACCTTTGCTAGGTGGGAGCCCTCATTTTCTGCAGAAACAGGTTGGAACCCGTGGAAAAAAAAGAAAAACAGAAAAACAAGTAAAAAGAAGAAAGAAAAGGGTTCCAACCATGTTCAAGACGAAAATCGAGCACCTTGAATTAATGTGAGTCCATGATCTTTTGTTTGTGAGAGTCTCTTCATCCACGATTCATTTGTCCTCTGTTCACTATTTGCCATGATGCCGACTCGAGACTAGCGTTCTCGCCGAAGAGGCTATGAGATGACTTGTGCGTCGGTTGACCTCGTAAGCTGCTAAATGATCTAGGAAGTCCTCTACCTACGATCGAGGTTGTTTGTTGCTATAGAGGTCTGGAGAGCTGCATTGGTTTGAGTTAGGTTTGCTTGGGGACAAGCAAACGGTTAAGTGTGGGGGAGTTTGATAGACCGATAATTATACATGTTTCCAACCCTATTCTAAAGCTGTTTGTGATGAGGAATCTCGTGTTTTAAGCCGATTTCACGCTAGGTTGTGTGTTTATGTCATATTTCAGGTCCCGGCGTTGGAATCGAGGCGGAGAAACGAGTTCTGGGTCGAAAGGAGCAAAGTTGGGACGAATAGGCTGAAGGAGGAAAATACCCGGTCAGGTGGCCAAATACCCGACCGGGTATTCACCACTTTTGGGCGCCCGAGAAGCAGAGAGGGGCCCGGGCACAGCAGCAAAATCCCCGGTCGGGGATTATGGCGATTGACCGGGGATTCTTCCCTTAAGCGAAACGGTGCGCTGCAGAGATACCCGGTCGAAACCCAAAATACCCGACCGGGTATTTCGACCGGGTATCGCGACCAAGCAGCTGATTTAAGGAAGAAGAAGGCCAACATTGAAGGGTTCCGAGTTTTTGAGAGAGAAATCGATTCCTAGAGAGAGAAAGCGACGAACCAGAGTTCCCAAGCGCCATAGATCGATCTTCAACACCATTGGAGCCCGTCTTGAGCTTGGAGAAGTGCGATTAAACGTCCAGGAGCAGGAATCCAACTTCACAGTATGATTTCCGCGTCTGAATCTGCTTTTGCTTCTTTCTCTATGGAGTAGTTTCCCCATTCATCTGGGTATGGGGAACCCTAGATTTGTATGCTAGGTCTGATTGTATGAACCCAAGTACAGAGTTTGTGAATTGATTATATTCGATTGAGGTTTGAATGATTGAATGACTTGAATCCTGATCAAATTTCTGTTGTTTCTGCTTTGACCTGGAATGAGAATATCTGCCTAGGTTGATAGAGTACCCTTAATCGAAGGTGGCGAATTGGTGACTTTAGTCGAGGAGCCAATTCGCTATTCTGTACCGAAGTTAATTCGGTAGTGGAGGTTTGGTTCATTAGGGCCTCAATCTGTTTACTCCGGTGGAGGTTAGTCGCCCGCTAGAGACTCAGATTGAGAGGGTCTGGAGACCTTTAGTCGAGACTTCAGGCTAATTGAGAACCTTCCGCAGTATAACTTTCATGAAAACTAAACTTGGTAATTACAATCCGACTTAACTGCAGTCTAGGGGGATCCATATCCGGGTGACCTCTCTTGACTTGACAACAAACCGTTTACTTGCTTTGTGTTTTGTTTGCTTGAGTTGCACTAAAAGTTCACCGCTAAATAACAAGAATTCATCGAGTAGTCATCACATCTAGGACCCGGGTTGACATTAAAACCCGACCCGCTATACTACGCTTTAGGAAGTGGTTATACTTGGCCATTTTCTAGGGTGACAGTAGGAGTGAGTCAGTAACCATACCTACAAGTTGTGGGTGGTGGGTTGGGTGGTGGGTTGGGTGTGGGTAGTAAAATAACGATTTATGTGGTTAGTGGTTATCCATTACCCACCGCGGATAACCCACAAAATCCACAATAACCACACTAATTATATTTATTTAGTGAATTAACATTATAATATAATAGTATGTGAAAAGTACGAGGATAAAAATTAAAGTAGTCACCAAATAAAAAAGACACGCCTAATCAGTTTTATGTAAGAATTTTTTAGTAAAACACTATAATCGATAGAGTGGAGAATAATCAATTCATTAAAAGTGAACACCTTTTGTAACTTTTATCAGTATATTTTTGCTTTTGTGTGAAAAAAATACAAGATCATATTTAATTGTCATATTTCACCCTAGTCGGGGAAATATGAAATCACAGCTCTCTGGCACAAAAGTTGAATATCAAACTCAAAAAGAAAAAATCTCCACGTTGAGTAAGATCAATGTAGAAAATTGTATCTCCACGAACAACACAAGTGTATATCACTATAATCTAGTTACGAACAACAAATACGTTAGTGGCGACAAGAACTTTATGCTTGCAAATATTGATTTTTGCGGGTAACCACACCCAACCCCCACAAACCAACAGTGGGTAGTGGTTACCCACTAACTACTGCAGTGCAGGTTATGGGTAGCATAATTGTAAATTTGTGGGTGTGGGTACCCGCAAAATGTGGGGCGGGTAACCACAGTCACCCCAATTTCCACCCCTAAATATGGCTATTGATCAAGTGGTTCAGAAATCAGAACCTGATTGAGTTGGAATAAAATTTAATAAAATAAAGAGAATAGAGATATAGATAATATTTTATTTTATTCAAATATGTGACAATTCAATTTCGCTCCACCTTTTTGTATGCAGAAAATAATTCACAAAAATGAAACAAATAAAATTATATTCAATTTTGGTTCGAATATTAATTTTGTACGATTTTATAATGAAAATTGTTGTCATACTTACTTTTTGTTATCATCCATCTTATTGAATTAAAAAATGGAAAAATAACACAACAACAAGTGTATTAGTTAGTTGTTCCGACTCGATCCAATTCAATGACAACTCTTATCAACTCTTCTTTTCATTTAAGCCAATTCATAAAATTAAAACGGAATTTTATCACATACAAAAGTTACTCTCGTCCGCAATGTAAAAAAAAGAATACAATTTTATTTCACATGTCACTGAATACAGACAATGGTAATCCCCCTCCTGCACAACTTACATTCCCCCTTTGGGTAATAGACACTCTTCTCCATCACGCAGCAGGTGAACAAGCATCCATGCATGTAATTATTAAGCTCTGTATAACAGGATCTTCTTCACCGTAATCAGTTTCCTTATTCTTACAAATAAGTCCCATATATGCATACATTCGTTAAGCTAGCGGCAAATCAATCAAATGACGAAAGTGGTCGTCGAGTTTGTACTGTCCCCATTATCATTTGGACGACAGGTAGTGGCCGGATAACTTATCATTCCTAAACTTTTGCTCCATTTCAGACCTCGAGCCCAAAGCGCTGCCGCCGCCGCTCCTCTCATCGAGCCACGACGTAATGTCGTTGAACACTAGCTCAATGTTCTCCGGCGTCTCCCCGTAGAGAAGGCCGTGCCACATCCCATCGTACAACTTGATCGTCTTGTCCTTGGTCGACGACACGTCGAACAACTGTTTGCTGACGGATTTATCGGTCACCCTATCGTCTTCGCCGTGAAGAAGAATGAACGGCATCGTCACCTGAATTCAAATTTTCAGAACAAAACCACGACATTAGTCTCGATCACCTCAACGTTCAACATTAGTAGTTTCATTAGAAATGGCAATGGGCAGGTCCGGGGCGGGTATCTCGATACCCATACCCGCCACATGGCAGGTCGGGTCCAGGTCGGATAATTTATCACCGGGCGCGGGTCGGAACAGGTTGATCCATTGGGTATGTAATTTACGTGAAAAACATTAGAAATATTCGTTCTTTTCATTGAAAGACCAAGAAAGAAACCATAATATGATAAAATGAAGTTAAATTATTGAAGAAATTAAGATTTTCACTTGTTTACAACTTTATTATAGCTAAAATATAATGTAAAAAGAGGAAAATCTTAAGTAATTTGACTAAGATTATATGTAATTTAGGCAAGAACGGGTCGAGAATTGGGCGGGTCAAGACAGGTCGGGTCGATAAGAGGTAATCATGCCCGCCCCGCCACAAAACAAATCAAACAGGTCGGGTAAATCGGGTCAGGTCGAAATTGCCATCCCCTAAGTTTCATCTTATCCGGAACACTGTTTAGTATTTATGGAAAGGTACTTGGACCATATTAATATTGGACTTGTGAGATATTTATGATGGGAGGGATCCTAGTTTGACCAAATCAGCCCAAGCCCCAAAAGTCACGATTTAAGCAAAGAGTGATTAAACAGTGGTAATAATAATTAGGAGCAAGTTTAGCAGTAATTAAGGAGGTTACCTCGTGAAGGCGTTGCTCGATGTCCATGCTGGTTCTGAGGAGCTCGAAAGCAGTTTTCAAGCGTGGGCGGCCCTTGTAGCAGTATGGGTTCTCTCTGATCTGCTTTCTGATCTCCGGCACTTTGAAGGCAGTGTCGATAATGTCCTTCGTCGGCACGATCCGCCAAGTTGGGATCACGTAGCTCAGTTTCGTCAAAGCGCTGATCACAAACGCAGGCGGCTTCACGTCATCTGCTATCTGCACGTCCAGCCCAAATAAAAAAAAAAACAAATAAGTGGGAAGTAAAATGAGGTGAAAATAAAACAGAGTATATACAATTGTGGCTTGAAGTCCGATTAATTGTCGTCGAAAAAAACAGAACAAATAATCTCTCCCATCCATTCGTAAATTTGTCAATACACCTTCTTAACACCTTTGTAACTTACTTAACTGTCTCTAATTTAGTTGACTTTTTATGTTATACGGTACTTGTTCCTTTTTCTTGCAAATGAATTAATGGTGTACTAGTGGCTCTCTAATCTCATGAGTGGACTTTCGCCGGTCCACCACCATCACTTTATGCAAAAAAAAAAAAAAGCAACGATTATTTTCCCTTTTCCCACTTCTTGACGGCCAAACTTGTCCATCATTGCAAGGAGAATAAGGCAATTTGTTTTAAGTGGCTCCACCATTTGAAGGGGCGGGGCGGCATGATTAGATTTTCAACCCCGTGGGAGAAGATATTTATTCATTTATTTATTTGATCATGTTGTAGTAGTAGGTGGTCATACAAAGAGGGCGTGGAGTGCAAAAATAAAAATAAACAATTGCCTATCGAGATAAAGAAAAAACCTGACAATCATTAATATTTTGATTAACCTAACCTATTATGATAAATATGCCACTAAAATTATAATTTTGCTCGGTCACCCCTCTTCGAAATAACTATTATTTCGAACCCGTAACAATCTTAAAATTAACAGCTAAATACAACTCCATATAGAGTCCTATTTGATTAGCTGTAACAAGTGGAGACTGGAGAGGTTTTAAATTATTTAGGTTATAATCTCGGTTTTGTCATTTTTAGTTGACATGTGAACTAATTGTTTGATATAACAACTTTTCTACGTAACTTTCCACTGCTTTGGAGAGATCAAAACAAACAAAAACGCGAAGAATGTGCTTTGCTTAGTTAGCACCACGTCTCCTCCCTCCCTTCCTTCCCGCTGACCTCACACGTTTGGCGGGTTCACAAAACCAGACGAGTCAGTCAGGCAAAGGCTTCCACTAGGGAAACTTCCCCACCATAACAGAAAACCAAATTTACTATTATTATATTTATATCCTTTTCCCCAAACAACTCCAATAAAATAAAAGCAATTAATAATATATTATCGTAATTGCGATAATGAGGGAGCGGCATACGCACCTTACACATTGGAGCCACCAAGATGGCACCGTCCCAGAAATTAGGCATTGTCCTATGCAGCAGCAACGTCACTGCCCCTCCCAAGGACTCTCCCATCAGATACCTCTTCTTCCCTCTCTTATCCTCTGTTTTTTCCCCCCAACCAGCCAGCAGATTTGTTAGTAATTGAATGCAATTTGCAGTGATTGAGTGTTGGGGACGAGTTTGGAATGTTTGGTTTTTTTACCGCTTATGTTTCTGAAATGCTGGGCGCAATCCTGAACCACAGAATCGAGGTTCTGGATGTAGCCTTGCAATCCTGAAGATTTCCCGTGTCCTTCGTAGTCTATCCCGTAGACTCCGTATCCTTGTTTCGCCAGCCGCATCGCCGTGCCTGGATTCCATGAAATTTCTTAGAGATTGGGTTGATGGGGGAGCGGAAGGGATAGGATAGGGGGAGAGAGAGAGAGAGGGAAGAGGGTTGCTTACTGTCCATGGTGATGCTGCACTCCATGGCATAGCCGTGGCAGAGGAAGATGAGAGCTTTCGGCTCTTCATTCGCTGGAACCCACTTGCACGTGAACAGCTTCGACCCTCTTGAGTTCAGAATGAATTCCTGATGAACAAAATCGAAAGTCAGTAATTAGTTCTGCTTTCGGTCGGAGTCTCTGTTTCCGAGGAGGAGGGGGGAAAAAACAGGGGAGTTTGAGATGTAAAGAAACTCTACCAACCTCGTTGTATTTGACACCGTCAACTTCTCTCGCCTGCAAAAGAATACCGAATTCGAAGGGAAAGGGACAAACCCAAAAAAGAAAAAGGTAGAAGAGTCAGCAGATTGTAGCAGAACTGGGAGGGGAAGAAAAACAGAGATAGAAACAGAGACTTACCATTGTGAATGATGGATTCCTGATTCTTCTGAGGCGATTGAGTTTTCCGCAGAAGGAGGAGTGAAAGGTGGGAAAGTTTTGGAGTCAGGAGGGAACTGAATGAACAGATGAAGGATGGAATCCGATTCCTTGGTGGACTCTGATAAGAGATTGGGGGGATTCGCAGAACTGAATATATAGGGGAGAGACGGGGAGGAAGTTAAGACTTAATCGTGGATATTAAGATAAGCACAAGTGGAAGTTAAAACAGAAATTGGGTAATTAACAAAAAAGAAAAGAGAGAGAGAGAGAGAGAGAGAGAGAAAAATTGGGAGTCCAAAGCTAAAATGATCGAAATTCATGTTACCTGGAAATAATGTGATAAACAAAATATAATAACGAGATAAGAAACATGGGAAGCAAAATGCACGATCCGAGTGATCTTTTTCTTGTAGAGTCCCTAACCTTTATTATAATTTTTTTTTAGGTTAACTTTTTAAAAACCTTTTTAATTAATTCATAAACTTTAATTATTAGCATGAGTACACCAGAAAGCAGGGGGTCATGACTCGCGTGGCACTTAAAATTTGAGATTTGGCTCTTTTGTTCATGATTTCCTGTGATATTATACATATTTTAGTTATTAAATAATGTATTCTCTGGGAAGGAATAACATTACCTCCCACGGACTAGTATCAAATCTCAAGTTCCAACAGATTTTGGTTGAATGAGTACATTATTGTGTGCTTGACCCACATCTAAGTTAAAGATAACACATATATTACACATCGAGAGAGTATTCGAAAAGGTAATTTGAGGCAAATCTCATTCTCATAAGTCCTTTCGAGAGTAGTTCAGGAATTTGCCATAAAATGTTATTTGTCGTATCAATAACATCATAGAATGTGAATCATCGACTGTAAGATTGATAGTGTATAACTTATTACTTGAATGACTTCTCATTAAAACATACCATCTGAATCTGATATATCGATTCAATCCAATTTATCTTAGTTTATGGATTGATTAATGAGTTGTTGGAAATTTTATGGTTTAGCTACTATAAATTTTGTATTTTACATTTTGAAGTATATATTCAAATTTTAATGAAAACCATTCTTCAAAAGTTATGGTTTGGTACCTAATTATTTAAAAGGATATTTTAGTATAAAAGATTAAAAAAACATACTTATCTAAAGTAAGATGTACTTTTTAATCGAATCCATGTATCTAAATTATGAACTCACAAATCATTTATTTTTTTTGTTTTTGTTTTTTTTACAAGAACATCTTCAAAGAAAAACGATCATCATTTCTGAGATTCAGACTTTAAAACTCCAGACTGAAAATCAACAACACGACCACTCAACCACAATCACATTTAGGGGTGTTCAAATGGTTACCGTGGTAATAACCAAACCAATTAAGCTTAAATTTCATTAACCATGGATTACAATGTCTTAACCAAACCGTCCAAATTAACACGAAAACCAAATTCACCAAACCAAAGTTTAATTGGTTTGGTTAATCGGATAATCGGATTAACCAAATAACATAACATTACATTACATGAAAACAAACATAAACTATCATTTTATATAAGCAATAATAATAAGACTAACCATCCATAATTATCATCATCATTCGAGTTAAGACATCATTCATCATCTCTGCACCTAATATAGGGCTTACAACAAACTCCTAAACATAAATACATACCAATACCCCTCATCAGAAAGTTAAAACTCTCCTGCAAAACACTTAGGCCCTGTTTACTTTCATTTCTGTTTCCTGTTTTTGAGAAAACAGATGTTGAAAACAGGTGAAAACGACATTTTTTCGTTCTCGAAAACAGTAGGAATTTGCCAATTTCTGTTTTCAGAGTTGGAAACGAATAGAAAACAGAATGAAAAGTAAACATGTTTTCTCGTTTCGTTTCCCAAATTTGTAACATGAAAACAGAAAACAGGAAACGAAAATGAAGTGAACAGGGCCTTAAACTATATATAATTTGAGGTGGTTGTCATTGTATTGTACGTAATTCTAAAGTCTAGTAGTTGTCCAAAATGTTTTGGTTTAGTAAATATAGGCATGCCCCTTTAATTTTTGATCCATAATGTTTTGGTTTGTTGTGCACATGGAAATAAAACAGGGAATCACGAAAGTTTGATTTGGTTGGTTGCATGGAAGTATAAATAATTTTGTATATTTGGTGTATCATTAATTGGTTAATTGGTTTCATTGGTTAGCAGGGCTGAAACCAAACCAAACCACCTAAACCAAACAAGCTAAATTGTTTAACCAAACCAAACCAATTATCCAAATTAACCAAACCAAATTAACCGAATGCTACTGGTTAATATGGTTACCACGGTAACCAATCCGTTTGAACACCCCTAATCACATTCACAGCCCTTAATTCCAGACGACAGTGATATAAGGTAAATAAACTCACCTCTATTTTTACCAACTGCATGTGATGAAAGAAAGCCTCGGAGAAAGCAACAAAAGAGGATTCCCCATCTGGCCAGCTCTTGGTCGGAAGAATAATACAAGCGAGGGAGTAGAAACGAAAAGCGAGATAGATTTCCAGAAGGTTAAAACTCCGCAAAAATGTCGTAATTGTAAATGACAATTAGGGTGGTGTGTCATCTCAATCAAGTCTCGGGTCCGCTTGAACAAAACACTACCTTTTTCCTGCACTAAGCATATAACCAATTGTTAGGTGGTGAAACTTTATTTTGGCCCTTTTCATAATTCAAGAAATAGCTTTCAATCCGAATGCAAAAAAATACTGCTTTATTCTCCTTTTCAGACGAGGGAAAAAGTTTGTGTTCTTCTCCCCTTCATAATTTCGTTTGAATATTGACCCTCTTGAAACTAGACCTTCCATTTTGCATTATTATGCTCGTGAGACTCGTGCTGTGTGTCTATCCGATCTGCCTTCTAGATTCGATGAGGATGATATATATATTTTCATATTTGTACAGATAAATCAGATTAATTGTACTTTTTAAAATGATATTCACTATAATATATTTTTGAAATAAAATTAGTACCACTATATACCATGGTGGTATCGTTTGGTATTTACATAAGAGCACACCACGTGGAATGGAAGTGTATCACAGTGGTATAAACATATCATACTATAGAATGGTTGAATACATTATGAGTATGTTCTTTCTATGCAAAATTTTCAAAATCGATTGTCATTTACAATTTTCAACATTGTGTACCGTCCACAAGATACCACCCTTATACCATGGTGGTATGAGGTGGTATTTTTTTTGTCCTGTACTTTTTCCCCATATATTTGTAGATTTAACAGATTACGATGAACACGTTCCTTCTGTGTAAAAATTTCAAAATCGACTTTAAAACGGAGGAGATACCATATGGTATGAAGGTGGTAACAACTAACAAGTGATACGAATTTGTAAATCACAATGAGCTCGTTTTATCTATACTAAAAAAAATTAAAATCCAAATAAAAACCCAAATTTCCCGTTCCATTTTTCAGATGATCTACGTCTTTTGTTTTTTTTAACCTTTGACTGTATTTTTCATTGTACTTGTACCATAGTAGTTAAAAATAAATCTTAAACCATAGTAGTATTTTTCACTTACACCAAAAATCACAGTTTATACCATAGAAGTTAAAAAATAATGAATTAAATGACTTCACAAAATCAACTTTATGATAATAAATCATAAGTAAAACATATTAAGATAGATCATTTGAACTGGACCCAAGATGGTTAAGTCACATTGCACTTTTGCGCCTCCATTACCATACCATTGCCAACTCTCGTAATTTGGCTAAGGATTTGACAAAAGGGTTATTCATGTCTCGCCACCATCATCAATAGACAATAATGGTGATCCCCCTTGCCACCCACCGTAATTAGTGATAAGGGATTATCATGACTTGCCATCGTAATCTTTAATTATGGATAATTTTTTTATTTGGGCCTAACAATAATTAATCAAACTCAAATGAGCAAAACGAAATTTGCATAACAACAATTAATCGTTAGGTCTTAATCAACAACTGGAGGGGGGGCAATTCCAAGTTACTTAATATCTCAATTGGACATCAGTTCAGTGCACTATATGAAATAGCAACGAATTAAAACGAGATACGTTAGACATGATAGAGACCCGCAAGTTGGAGTTGGACTTTCATGCTGAATTGTTATTTTTAAACCTTGCTTACTGATTGCGCCAGCCAGCCAAAGATTGTCTAGTTAGTGGACAAGTTGCCGCACAGAGGAGATCACTAGCAGTTGCTGAGATGTTGACCCAGCCAGGCGATGTTGTGTAATTAGCATTACAAAAATGGCCGCCACAGAATCAATGGTTGATTTCTTCCTCCTTGATTACGTTTTTTCTGGATTGTTTTTAATCTTGTTTATTTCCTCGGAGGTTAACGTTTCGGAGATGATCGGCGCGCGGTGCCGCCTATTGATTCTTTGAGTGGGTGTTATCCCACAATGCTTGCAACTAGGACTCTAGGAGCCCCTCAGCTTGATCCAAGTTTGACAAACAATGGAGGCATGGTAGAGACTAGGGACCATTACACATTTAAATAAAAAGAAGAAAAAAAAGACCATTCACATTACCATCTCTTTCAATTGTTCACGATATAACGTATTATTACATGTTAAAAATGATACTAATTATGATATATAGAATTGTGTCAAACTTTACGTGTTTATTTTTTTTTTATAAACAATGTCGAGATTACTCGAGAACATGTTGAAATATGGGTGACAACTGCTTTGCTCTGATGGTCACGAAATGCTCACCTATGGATTCCCTTTTCAAATATTCTCACTTCTCTTTAGAATTATCCTTTCTAGATTCACTACGGGTTGTCGCCAGAGTCACTCCAACGACCGGTGGTAGCCTCCTCTCTTTTTCCTTTCAAATTTGACATTCTTTTCTTCATTCTTCGGTATTTTTTTCGTTATCCCTTCAACTTTTCGTTTTGGTTTCTTGCCCATTTATGAGATTTTCCTTCTTCCTCTTATTGTAAGATGGATGGCTTCAAGTCTCTGTTATTTATCTTCAGATCTAGATGTGATTGGATATTTTGCTAGTGGTCAAAGGGGACTATGAATCTCTAATGTCTTCTCCATTGTGCTTTAAGAGCCAATTCGAGAACATGTTGAAATTCGGGTGACTACTGAAATTCAATGATATAAGATAGATAAATGCTCCTTTATAACCATGCGTGTAACGACTATTTTTTGTTTGGCAAAGTCAGTGGAATAACCGAGAGTCACAAATAGGAAACAAGAAAAGCGCGGGAGTCGACCAATAGTCGAACTCCCGATGAGAGGGCCTTTTGTGCCACATGATGGGCAGCCCTATTGAGTTGACGAGAAACAAAACTGAAAGAAACACAGCTGAAAGCAGAGGCCAAGCTCCTAGCGTCCTCCAAAATAGCGCCACCCCGAGCATGAAGCACGTCACCTCCAATCATCCGGCGTATCAAGAGTTGAGAGTCCCCATGAAAATGAACAGCAAGAAAGGAATGAGTTAGACACCACTGTAAGGCATCACGTAGAGCTAAACATTCCATGAGAAATGGGTCCTGGATCCCATCATAAAATTTTCCAAAGGCAAACAAAACATTACCTGTTGCATGAAAGCCGACAAAACCAACACTCCCTCCGTGACCACGCTTGACCGCACCATCAAACCAGACGTTGATTATAGCCGAGGGACCTGAGGTCGTAGGTGTGCCTCTGGTACCAAGTGACGGGGCAGAAACGGAAGAAGCATTACCGATGGAAGGCCGAGACGCAGGATTATGTCCAACCGCCCTCCATTCATCCACTTGTCGATGATACTGCCGAAACAAAGCCACTGGAAGGTATTGAATGCTTTCATGAACCGCCCAACATCTTCCCTTCCAAATCCTCCAGAGAATGAAAACAATATTAGCTATCTCAATTTTTGAAAGATTCAAAGAGAAGAAAAGATGTGGCCAGGCCTCATCAGGAATCATTCCACCAAGAGCAATGCTCAGGCCTTCAAGTCCCGCCAGCCTCCACAGTCCTCTCGCGACCCTGCAGGAAAACAAAAAATGGGAGAAGGATTCGGGCTCCCCTGAGCATATAGGATAGATCGTATCTGATACCAGCGTCTTAGAAAACAACACTATCTGCAAGGGCAAGAATCCGCGGACAACTCGCCAAAAAAAAGAACTTTAGCTTCGGAGGCACAGGAATGCTCCAAAGAAACTTCCAAAACCTGGTGTCAAAAGGTAGTACCATCGGAGGCTGCCGAAGGTTGAATTCAACAGACAAAAGATGATAACCTGTCTTAACAGTGCAACGACTATTTTTATCAGTATGGTAATTGTAATAGGCAAATGGTTTGTAATTCATCCCCTAATTCACTGATTTGTTAAAAATTCAACCATGTACACTCCTAAATCCTCATTGTCGATTAGGCTTCCACTAGATTGATTTTTTTTTTGGTGAGTTTACAGTTGGCCAATCTAATTCGTAAGGAGCTAGCGCACTAGGGCCTTTGGACCACAAAACGGCACAAGTCCAGTCCTTTAGTCTCGGCCCAAATCAAAGCAAAGTAAACAACATGAAGCTCGGCCCAGCATAAAGCGCGAAATATTCCGAGTGCATATAAATACTTTCATCGCCACTTTAGGGTTTGCACTTAGCAGCCGGAGAGTGAGTAGAAGGTTTACCGCAGCCGCCGTCGTTGCAGAGTGCAGAAGTTTGGAAGGAGCCATGGGTAAGTAATTCTTCCATCTTAATCGCCGCTGCTATTTCTCTGGTTTGATAGCCTTGACGCATTCCTGATCATGCTTTTGAAAAAATGAAACAGCCAGAATCAAGGTACACGAGCTGAGGCAGAAGTCGAAGGCGGAGCTTTTGAATCAGTTGAAGGATCTCAAGGCTGAGCTTGCCCTTCTCCGCGTTGCTAAGGTCACCGGCGGTGCTCCTAACAAGCTCTCCAAGATGTAATCTCTCTCTCTCTCTTTTCGACCTTCGAAATTTCTTGTTTTGTGCTTAGTTTCTGAACTGTTGACTTTTCGCATAGGATCGATATTAGATTCTGATTCGCTATTTTCGAGCTTCAGTTTTACCATGTATCTCAGGCCTAGATACGAACTGTTCAGCACTGGCTTGGGTAGTTCCTGAAATGAAAGTCTGTCATAGTATACATGTTGGAACTTTCAGTGGAGCTGATGTTGTTTGTTTGTTCTCCTGCTTGATTGTTGTTGCGTGTGTGCAGCAAGGTGGTGCGCTTGTCTATTGCCCAAGTGTTGACTGTGATTTCGCAGACGCAGAAATCTGTTCTGCGCGAGGCCTACAAGAACAAGAAGTTCTTGCCTCTCGATCTCCGTCCCAAGAAGACCAGAGCCATCAGGAGGAGGCTTACCAAGCACCAGGTACTTCTTTTGTTACCACCTTTAGACCATTGTGATCATGCAGTTTGCTTTGCAACGTGCAAGTAACTGTGGTTTTTTTGTTGAACCTTGGTCGTTTAGTGTGTACATCTGAAAGTACTGGTTGATAATTGTTAGTAGGCATCCGATTGTGTGGATGCCATATCCTGCAAGTTAGTTGGCTATGGCTCTTATGTCATGCAGATGCCTGGGATTGTTTTTAATTACCCCCTTTATCACAAAGTCGACAATTAAATGCTCTTTAAACGTGTTTTTGTACTCTCTTATACTCAGGGACTTGTTGCCTACTGTCCCTGTTAGTTGAACATTGTTTCCATTCTGCAATGTCTTCTATTCTTGGTTTTGGTGGCTTCTCTTTGGTTTTTGGTTGGCGATAGTGAAACCACGTATTAGTTCGGTATTCCTGTGGCAATATCAGTATCTTCCTCGTTGCAAATTCTTTTCATTGCTTACACAGTTACACTGGATCGAAGTAAAAGTAGATTCTTGCCCTCCAATTCCCTGATCTCGTTGATATCTACATGTTGGTCTTCCATTGTATTGGCCTTGCCCTGAATAAATTTATCTTTGTTTTACAATTGCAGCAATCACTGAAGACTGAGCGGGAGAAGAAGAGAGAAATGTACTTCCCCAAGAGAAAGTATGCAATTAAGGTGTAGAACTAGCCAGGAAAGTTCCGTTTGCTATTTTCTCTATATCTGAAGAGTTATGAAGGAAGTGCATTTTGGTACGATGAACTGTTTTGCCTTTTGTATTCTCGTATTTTGGGTAGTCAATGTGTGAGCTGAGCATCGACTCAAAGTTTTGGTTATATGGATTGTTATTTTACTGAAAGTGATTCAGTTAGGTTTTTGGTAATGCATCATGTATTATCAGTAGTCTGGATTGGTAGGCATTACATGGTAACGTCTTCATATAATCTGCAGCAAAGCATTAAGACTTTGCACCGGAAAGGAAAAGCTTGGTAGATCAAGTGTATAAGCACACCATAACACCTGCAATCCTTCTGGACGCACTGTTCTTAACCAGGATCTTCCTGCAATCTGCTGTTCATATTGGGAGTTTCAGTTGTGAAATCATATAGTAAAATCCAACTCAATCCTTAGAAAGACTTATGAAATCCAGTTGATTAGCTAAACTTTTCCAGGAAAGGGCTAACGTTGATTGTAGGAAGAGGATCCGAATCAATGAAGTCTACCCAAACATTCCCATCAGCCAAAATCCCTAGTCACCTCCCACTAGTATGCATCATCATCTGCTCCCAAATGTGTTCTCACCAATTGGTCCAGTTTCATAACTGGTTTCCCATTCGCGCTCCCATTGTTGGTCAACAGCATTGAAAACCCACAGGAGGGGAACTGGCAGTTGGACAGAATCACGGATAGCTCCTTCCCACAGTACCAGTTTGATCGAATCGACTCTGTGCTCACCACAATGGCTAAAGCCTTGTTGTGGCTCTTGAACAGCTGCTACACTAAATCCACTGCCATAATTCTCGCACTGCACCTCCCATCCCAGAAATGTTGAACGTCTTGATGTGTTCCCTCATCTTGTACCTGTTGACAACCCTGGAAGTCAAAGAAGGTTCAGGGGAAAACAGAGAGACATAGGCCACTAGAATGTCAATGTCGGTTCCGGCGAAGAGAGCGTCTAAGGTGTCGAGGGCGATGTCATCGATCTCCGAGAAGGAGCCGGAGAGTGTCGGAGCGGCTTCCCTGCCTTCCAGGATGTTTCTTGGGCCGTAAGTTTCGTCCCCAGGGCCAGAGTTGACAATGGTGTGGAGGAGCAACCTGTAGCCTGGCAGCCCAATGTTCTTGAGTGGCCTTGTAGCACTCATAGTGGAGCATGTAGCAGCAGGAGTTGGTTTTGAGGTTTTATCAGCACCTCAATCACCACCTCTATTTACATATTCAATTCTTGGCAGTAAAGTTGGTTTGAGGTTTTATCAGCAGACTGAAACCTGTAGCTAGCAAATGAACAAATTCATATTCAGTACCTTGTACCAGCCATGTGATATCAGAATACACAAATAGAAAGTGCTTTATTACCCTCTGATATATTGAGGGAGACTGGACATGTCTCTTCTCTTCGTTCACTGATCTGCTGCTGGTTTCATTTAAGACGACGGGAGTCCTTTTACTCCATTTAGTCGCGTTGCAGACGACATGAATGAAACTGTATATTCCAAGCTTAGGCAGCTGATGTTGCGCTTTCATTTCACTGGTACTGTGAAGAATCAATGTGCCAACCTTCACTTATTGAGCTATAGATTATAAAGACACTACTCCTTGTTTAGGGAATGTTTCCTTTGTTAACAGACAAAGCATCCAGAGGCTATAAGTTGGGTGGTTGGAGGTCGCTCATCCAGATCCAGTGTCACTCATTTATAAGATTGGAAGATGGTGCTAAGATATATTACATGATCCAACGATTTCAGTTTAATCTTATGCGGCTTTTCTTTTAGGCGTATTATTAAAATTCGTAAGTTTACATAATCAAACTATTATATTCACAACTCTTTTACCAACACCAATCCAATTATCGCTGGTTGGTGGATGAGTATTTATTTTCAAAGGAATATGTTCATCTAAGAGTAAGATTGATTAGATTTTTTCAATCAATATTTTCACTAATTATCATTTATACCAACAGAACGTGTCTAGCGCTTAATTCATGTATCAAAGGAAAAGAACCGACCACACCCTCTAAAACGGTCTCCTGGCAAGTGCGTAGTTCCGAACTCACTTATTAGATTCGACATCACTGACTAAAAGGTGTTATCGACGCTAAAAAGTCAATCTAGTTAAGAGGTTTGACCGTTTGAGCTGTATCTTTGGTTCTTATCATTCCATATATGCTATTTAGTATTCATAAGAAATGAAAAGATAGCATCACTTCATTATAGTTGCACACTTATACTACACGCGTTTAGGTCAAGTCAACCAAATCCATTTTATCAACTGGATACGATCAATCCACCAATTGAAAGAGTCGTCTAATACATTACATGCAGAATAGAAGCCCTTAATTTCCACATTTGTTGGCGAATTCAAGCATTCCTGCAGGAGGTCATGGTCAGTGAGTCAGGTCAATACAGTTATGATGCAGCTTCTTCAACTCTCCCTATTTAGTTTTCAAATCATTGGTTTCCTTTCCTCTTCTGGTTTTACTTTTGATTTTCATACCATAGATGGATGACTTGGCCAACTACATAAGAGGCTCCTTGCTATCTGGGGAAAGCCTTATCTGGGAAATGAGTGGCTCATTGAATCATTGACTTCTTCCTTCACTTGACTCTATTGTCACTTCTTCTTTGCTGATTTTTCTTTCAGCAGCAATAGCAAATACAATGGTTGTTTGATCGATGATGAGGATTTTGGTCTTCACGCATATGTGATTTCTCACGTTATATTGTGTTTTAGCCCAAATAGAACATCGATATTATCAAATTTGTTTTGTAGTTTAATGAAATGTCTGGTAACTCATCGTGCTAGTGAAGCTGTGTTCTAGTTTGTAAGAAGCATATGATGAAATAGTTTACCTTGATACTTCTGAGCATATTGTGAAGTCAGGGATGACAAATGCAACTAGGTAATGGATGGTTACTTCCCCACAACTCTCAACCGGGGACGAGTTCTATAACTGGTTCGACGATGAGCTCTTCAAGGCTCTCGAACATGTCGTGGGTAGAGCTGCGAGAACGGGCTCGGCGCATCGGCCGTCGTTGGAGCTCCGAGGAGCTGCCGACCGGGGATGCTTCCACAGGAGAAGAGCAACCGCCGGTTGTGCAGGTTGACTCGCACGGTGACATTGAGAGGCGAGCAGAGCAACCGGACGTGGAGGAGGTTTTGGCAATCGAGCCGCCAGCCACGGAAGAGCTTCCAAACGTCACCAACAAACAGCAGCAGCTTCCGACAACATTGGTCACCATGGCTGCGACTTCATCATCAACATCACTTGCAGCGATTGAACAACCATCCAAGGCGGCCGAGGCTACTGTCGCGATCGTGAGTGAAGAAGAAGGTGAGAGGACCAACGCCTCTAAGGAAGAAACCCGAACTGAGGGGTCGGAGAGGAGGTCAGCCACGGCCCGAGAGGCGGACTGGCGGTACCCAAAGAAGGCGCGTCCGGGGACAAGACGACGACCAGTACAGTCTCTTGTTCGTTGGAAGGAGGATTCGTCACCAAAAAGGAAAGGAGCGAGTGAGGCCTGTTCGTGGGAGTGGAAGCCGCCAGCGGAGGACTACTGCATCAACATCGTCCGACAAGACGCAACAGAGCAGGCTCGTTGGGTTTCTTCGCCGGCAGTGCGAAGAGCTCCTTTGGCGCCGCAATCGACGGTAGCTCCAGCCTTGGCGACGATCACCGAAGAGAAGAAGCCGCCGCCGATGGACGGGATGAAGCTCAAGGCGGAGGGCAGCGGTGCGCCTCTCTTCTCGATCGAGCAGGCGACGTCGGAGGAAGAAGCGGAGCTGCTGGCGAAGGAAGGCGGTGGCATCGCTTTTCATTCCAACCCTAGGACGCCGCCAAAGAAGAAAGAAGGTGGTGGCGGATGGTCGGGGAAAGATTGGAGGAAGAAGAAGAAGAGATTCGCCATGGGGGTGAACTCAGGGGCAGAGGCCGGAGCCAGAAGCGGCCGCGGACGTGACGCGGAGGTGCCGGAGCTGCGAATCGCGCACGGAACGCATCGATTGGCGGCAATCTCCGTCGCGACGTTGAGGGAAAGGAAGGAGAACTCAAGGGTGAAGCCGGGGAAGGATGCGCCGTCGAGGATGAAACGGCGAACAGATGGGGTCTTCCGCCGGAAGAGCAGTTCGTCGAGCGGGGGAAAGATGAAGTCGAAGACAGAGCTGGTAGCGGATCCGCCAGCGGAGGCGAGGGGAAACCCGCTGAAGCCGAGGTCGACTTCTCGTCGCCTGGCTCGGTGTTTGCCGCCGGGAATGATGTCGGAGAAGGGGTCGACAAGCAAGGAGAGGAAAGGCGGCGGCAGAAACCATCCGCCACCAAACCCTGGATCGCCTAGGGTTGAAGGAGCCGGTCCGCTAGGTCTTGCTCGGGTGGGCCGAGGGTCACGGTTCAAGTGGGCCGTGAGGTTATGGGAAGTGGGCCGCAGGGGCCTGAGGTGCGGCCTGGCGGGGGAGGAAGAGCTCGCTGGCCTAAGGAAGAGTTCGGGGGCCGAGCTGGGACCCGAGTCCGGGACGGAGAGGAATCAGGCCAAGCCCCGGTCAGCCTACGGGCCGACAGTTGATGTGAAGCGGGCTGAGAAAGAACTTGTTCATGGGCCGAGTCTTAAGGAAATTGGGTTCACAGTGGGCTGTTCTTGGAGGAAAATGGACTTGGATGAAGAATATGGTGGATTTAATGAGTTGGCAGGAGGGCTTTTGAGAGAACAGAGCCCAAAAGCAAATAGAGAGGCATCAAGGCAAGTGTATGGGTTTTCTACAATAAAACTTTTTGAAGGCCTTGATGAGTTGGTTCTTAAAGACAAGTTCTTGGTACAAAAAGCATCTTTGGATTCCCTAATGGGATGGGGTGTGAGGCCAAGAAAAGAGAAGCTATTGAATTTTGAATCTGGCAAGGAAGCGAATAGTGGGCCTATGGAAGTGAAGTTTGAAAAGTGGGATCAGCACAAGAAGGCCAACACAAGAAGCTCAAGTCGAGTAGTGGAGCATGATTGGAAGAAAAGAAAACGCAAGAAATGGAGGAATCAGCGTGCGGATTGCGCGGGAAGAAAGGAAGAGTGGGTCAAGTGGGTCAACCTTGAGGACAAGGTTGGTCTGAAGGAGGAGGAGATGTGGGAAACCGATTTCTGTAGGGATTCTATATTTATTTTTATTATTACTAATAGGGTAACTCTTATTATGGTTAGTAGTCTTTTAGTAGAATTAGGTTTATTCTTAGGGTTTTCTAGTATTTCCCTATATATATGTACTTTGGGTCATTCGTGAGATTAAGCAGAAATTAATAGAAAAGTCATCTTTCCCCAAAACCCTAATCTCTTTCTCTCTCAAATCTCGACTATCCTTCTCTCTAGAGGCTTCGACCGTTCTCTCTGTTCTTCCCCAATTCTGTTCCTAATCCCTAATTCTCTTCTAAATCCCTAAATCTCTACCAATTCCCAATTTCCCAGCACAATCGTTGGAACCCTAAAAATAGGTTTCCTACATCTGGTATCAGAGCCCCGTTCCGATCGGTGAGTTCTTCTCAACTCCATCAGGGACAGCTTAGAAACCGGAGAATCGACGATGGGAAAATCAGAGCAGCCATGGGCCCAGTTGCAAGAAGAGTTATGGCAAATCGCGAACTCCTGGAAGAGGGAATCGGCGCGAGGCGCCGTGGTCGCGGGCTCGACGAAGGAAGGGGGGTGCGACGGGTTGTCCGGGGCTGCGCTGATCGAGGAGAAATTGGGTCCTTCGGAGGGATTGCCTCCAATCACGACGGTTCCCAACACCATTGAATTGCAGCAGCTGGAGACAGCGGTGAGCAAGCCGCAACTGAGTGGTGCGACGACGGACAGCGGGGAGACACCTCGTGTCACCAAGGAGAGAAGGGCGCTAGCTGTTTCTCTTCGGGTCAATGAGACTCGTACCACGGATCCAACGAAATTGGAGTCTCTCGCTGCCGCCACCACACAAATAAGGAGGCTACGTATTCGTTCAAACACAGGCGGAGATGCTGCAAATCACACCGAAATCACCACCCAAGGCAGCGAACAACAAAAACAAGTCGAAGGAGACTCACGAGACTACGAGTCATTATGGAAGGGGCAAGCTGGAAAAAAAGAGCACATAAGAATGGCGAGCTGCAAGGTGAATTGGCGATTTAGGAAGAAAAGGCCGAGGTCGGTAGAATCGGTGACTGGTACGACAGTCACCGCAAATGGCGCACCGCCCTCACTAGCCGACACGACCGCCGGGATCCAGTTGGGTAAAGGATTCGGGTTCAACCTGAAGATTGCAAAGTCCTGGGGCGTGAGGCCGCAGAAGAAGAAAAAGGATTTGCAGAAGAACGAGTTGAAGAGGAAGATCGTGAGCTCGGGAATCGACCCGCGCTGCGGGGTTGAAATCTCGTCGGAGTCGGAGATGCGGCAGGGAGCGCGAGCGTTGCCGTGCCGGCAGCTGGGCGATTCCTCGCCGTTTTTGCGAGTAGGAGTGACGGCAACGAAGACCAGGGAGGCAGATCCGAGAAGTGGTGCAAAGGAGGCGGGTGGTGCGGTTCTCCTCGAAGCGACGACGAACTGGAAGTGGAAGTTGAAGGCGAGGGTGGAGCTGGCAGGGGACTCGCCGCCGGAGATGGAGGCGGGAATGGTGTTGTCGAGGAAGGAATCACCGAGGAAGAAGTCGCCTGAGGAGGAAGTGGGGCAGAGCAAGCCGCCGGAAGTGTGGTGGCTTTCACATCGTCGGCAAGGAGGATGGCTGCCGGGGGAGGATCCGTCGAAGGAGTGGACGGCGGAGGAAACAAAGAGGGATGATGGCTTTCCTCTCTCAAACCCTTGGCTGTGTTTCCCGTTGGGCCGAGTCAAGTGGGTCGATGGGCTAGATGGGTTCGCTGGAATGGGCCCCTTGGTTCTATCTCTATTCTTCCCTAAATTCTCTTCTCAAATTCCTAAATCCCCAATTCTGTTCTATAAACCCTAAATTCCCAATCTCTAGATCGGATCTAAATTCCCAATCTCTAGATCGGATCAGGAGACCCGTAGGAAACTTGTTTCCTACATAGCTCTTGTACTCATCACAAAGAGCTGTGAGGTGGGTAGCAGGATGGATCATAACTTTTTCTGGGGTTTAAATTTTATATTTTAAAAGTAAACCCAGATCATTAAATAGATCCATTAATGAGGTGCAGTGAATTCTGATGAATTATTAGCTATATAACTTAATTGGTGACATTGGTTTAACTTCAAGGATGATCACTTGGAAAATGCTGATACATAATAGAACCCAGAATAGAAAGCAACTTTGATATGTTTGATATGCAGTACTGGATGAAATACATGAACTCTAGATACAATGAAACCCTGCTCATAAAAAAGGCACAGTTAATCAACCGACGCCATTCCTGAATAGCCTTCAGACCTTGTTGAAAGCCAGGAGCGAGAGCCTCGTATCATTAACCAAACATTCCCAGGAAAGGGCTCACATTGACTTTAGGAAGAGGGTATGAATCAATGCAGTCTTCCCAAACATTCCCACCTGTCAAATCCCTAGTCACCTCCCACACACAGCTGTTGCACTTGAAACCTGCACCATACCCAATCATCAGTATCCTGTCACCTCTCTTCAGCCTCTTCTTGGCCTCCATGTAACCCAACACATACCAAACCCCAGCAGCCGCTGTGTTCCCAAATCGGTGCAATGCCATTCGAGACGGCTCCAGATCATAGTCATCCAGCCCCAAGCTCTTCCCAACCCCATCAATCAGTGCCCTCACACCAGGGTGTATGCAGAAGTGTTCAATTCCTGCCTTCAGGCTAATCCCTCCTCCCGCTTCTTCAATCGATGAAGGAATAGCAACCGTACTGTCTTTCGCCCTATTTCGACTATAAGAGTGGAAGACATAGAGCAGGAGATCCTTCCCTGGGAGTATCTTGGGGACCAGAACCTTGAGGTTCAATGTGAAGGCTATGGAAGTAGCTCTAGAGAGTCCCTTGGTGAGGAGGAAGCCTTGATGTCCAAGCTTATCTTCCGTTTTGATGCAGCAGTTGTAAGCATCATCATCTGCTCCCAAATGGGTTCTGACCAATTGGTTCAGTTTCATCACTGATTTCCCCTTGAAGCTCCCATTGTTGGTGAGCAGCATTGAACACCCACCGGAGCGGCACAGGCAGCTGGCCACAAGCATGGAACTCTCCTTCCCACAGTACCAGTTTGGTCCGAGTGACTCTGTGCTCACCACGATGGCTAGAGCCTTGTTGTGGGTCTTGAACAGCTGCTGCACCAAGTCGATGGCCACAATGGTTGCACTGCACCCCATCCCAGAAATGTTGAACGTCTTGATGCCTTCTCTCATCTTGTACGTGTTGACAACCCTGGAAGTCAGAGAAGGTGCAGGGGAAAACAGAGAGACATTGACCACTAGGATGTCAATGTCAGTTGGGGAGATTTTGGTTTTGGCAAAAAGGGCATCCAAGGTGTCGAAGGTGATGTCATCGATCTCGGAGAGGGAGTCGGAGAGTGTTGGAGCAGCTTCCCTGCCCTCGAGGATGTTCCTTGGGCAGTACGTTTCATCGCCGAGGCCAGACCTGACCATGGTTTGGAGGATTAACCTTTGTTCTTGCGGTCCAAGGTTCTTGTTCCTCATTACGATCTTGGCACAGGTTTCTGCATCGACCTTCCTGTCATCGGTGGCCTTGTAGCACTCATAGTGGAGCAAGTAGCAGCACGATCTGTTTTGGAATATGAGTTTGTATAGGTGGAAAGTGATGCAGGAGAAGAGGAGGAAAAGAAAGATCATCATGGCAGTAAAGTTGGTATGAGCTTCTATCAGCAGGCACGGATCGTCAATTCAGTTGTAGACAGATTGAAAAGGGGAGCTTGGGATACTGTACAACCTGTAGCTAGCAGCTGCACAAAAAACATCTATCAGTACCTATCTAGCTTGTAATAACAAGTTACCTGATATGATGCTGTTGAGAGAGACTGGTAGATCAATTGTCTTCTTCCTCTCTCACTGTGCTGCTGGGCTTCATTTAAGACAATGGGGTCCTTCTACTCCATATTGAAGGAAATGGGAAGAACATGGCTGTTAAGGAGAGTACCGGTTGAGATTAGAATAAAAGATGGCATGGTGAGTGAGTGGTAATAACTGCTGACAACTACTACTCCTATAATTCTAGTCCTAATTAGAGGTGTCAATCGGGCGGATTCGGGCGGGTTCGGGCTGGGTTCAATCGGGTTGCGGGTTGGTCGGGTTGCGGGTCGATCGGGTTGCGGGTTGGTCGGGTTCGGGTTCATCGGGTTTCGGGTCAATCGGGTTGCGGGTCAATCGGGTTGCAGGCCAATCGGGTTGCGGGTCAATCGGGTTACGGGTCAATCGGGTGCGGGTCAATCGGGTTGCGGGTCGGGCGGTTCGGGTTGCGGGTTTCAAGATACTGGTATTTCGTGGTTGAACCGCCGATACAGTACGATTTAATGTACCATGGTCCATGGAAATTGGCATAATGAACAAAACAAACATTAAGCCAAACAGGCAAATTTTAGAATTGGCGCCTTCACCCGGGAAATGTAAAGAGTTTGGCGCCCACCCTCCTTTATTTTTTTGGCTTTAGTTGGGACCACTTTCTTGTCCATTTTTGCCCCTTATTTATATTTACCTTAATTAATAATTACATGTTAGTTTACTGCACACCATTGGAATGAGTTTGGGTGTGTAATTTGTTTCTAAATCACACACACGTTTAACTCAAAATTTTAATCTGGCTTGCCCAAAAGTAAATCTCGCATTTTCTAATATCTTCGTCCAAACTATTTTTTGAGAAAGTAAGAAAATGAAGAAGGATGACAAAGTAACAACACATAACCCTTTGTTAGCCAACAATTAATAGAGATTCCAATTTGAAAATTAAATTTTTGAGTTCCCAAACGACCAAGCAATTAATTAAAAGGAAAAGCAGGCCCAGCGTACCCAACTGCGTATTTATTCCAGTGGACTCTTTCATACTTGTCTTATAGTCTATATACCCTAAACCCCTAATGGTTTGATTCATGAACATATGTTAATAAGAAAAGTTTATCTTATTAGTTATGATTTTGACTAACCGTGGTCAAACCATTAATATCTTATACCCTAACCCATTATATACCCGTTACACTAACCATATACCCTATACATCGACTCTATAGTCTATATACCCTAAACCCCTAATGGTTTGATTCACGAACATATGTTAATAAGATAAGTTGATCTTATTAGTTATGATTTTGGCTAACCGTGGTCAAACCATTAATACCTTATACCCTAACCCATTATATACCCGTTACACTAACCATATACCCTATATATCGACTCTATAGTCTATATACCCTAAAGGCCTAAACCCCTAATGGTTTGATTCATGAACATATGTTAATAATATAAGTTGATCTTATTAGTTATGATTTTGACTAACCGTGGTCAAACCATTAATACCTTATACCCTAACCCATTATATACCCGTTACACTAACCATATACCCTATACATCGACTCTATAGTCTATATACCCTAAACCCTTAATGGTTTGATTCAAGAACATATGTAATAATAAAAGTTGATCTTATTAGTTATAAGTTATTATTTTGAGTTTTTGACTAATCGTGCCTAATTTAAACCCTATTATATACCCTATACAGCTATACACCAACTAATATTTAATACCTTAATTTAAACAGCAACTAAAAAAAATAGACAGTTAATAAAAAAAAAATATTCACTAGGTTTCGAAACACTAACCTTTTGCTTACTAATCAATAATTCACCAAACACCCATTAACCAACTCTGCTACCTCACAATTTGATACTTTGTGTTTTATTTTAACTTTTAACATCCACACTCGAAACTCAAAACTAAATGCAAAGAAAGAAGAAATTTCATTTGTCTCGTTCCATAACCATTTGCGAATTGCGATTTGAGCCTGCTCGGCTGCTCCCAGAAAGAAAGAACCCTAAAATTCCATAACCATTTGTTCTAGCCGCCGCCTGCCATACCCGACCGCCGACCCTCTCCTTCGTCTGTCGGTCCTTCGTCTCCGAGTCAGCCCTTCTCCGAAATTCCATAACCTCCGACCCTCTCCTGCTCGGCTGCTCCCAGAAAGAAAGAACCCTAAAATTCCATAACCATTTGTTCTAGCCGCCGCCTGCCATACCCGACCGCCGACCCTCTCCTTCGTCTGTCGGTCCTTCGTCTCCGACTCAGGCCTTCTCCGAAATTCCATATCCGACCCTCTCCTTCGTCGCCGACCCTCTCTGCTGTCAGGCCTTCGTCGCAGCGACGACTTCCCCGAAATCTCTGACCTCCTCTGCTGTCAAGCCTTCGTCGCAGCGACGACTTCCCCGAAGGTAACTCAGCTGTTGTTCCTGATCGTACATTTACTGAAGTTGGTCATTGGGATAGCTAAATAAATCTACTGATTTTTCTTACTTCTGAGTTCTGTCTGTCTGTAGCATGGTTATTGATAGTTGGCATCATCGGGCTTCTAATTGCTTGTGCTTGAGATGTTGTGAAACGACTATCACTATCTTCATGTACGCTGCCCCGCCATAGGTCTCACTAGTCAGTGCTAGTTTCGTTATGAAAGAAAAGTCTAGGATGTATCTCCTTTATATAGTTTCACCGAGACAGAAAAACCAGTTGCCACCAGCCCACCACCCACATCACACTACATCGAAACGAATGAGTTTGGTGCTGCTTGTATTCAGTACTTTACCTGATTTGGTAACTGTTAATAAATTAATTTGGTGTTCTGATTGTTTGTCTACATTCTGCTGTTGTGAATTTGCAGACATGGATCCTAATAATTCGGGAAGTGGTGTTGGTAGTACTACTGGTTCTAGCCCTTCTTCACCCCCTAAAAAGAAGGCTAATTCTCGCCGCACATCGGAAGTGTGGGACGATGTAGAACTATTTAATGTCGTTGATGACGATGGAGTTCTTCTAGAGAAAGGAAAGTGCAACTTTTGTGGGAAGATATATAAGGCGGAGTCAAGGCTTGGCACATCTACTCTGAAGCGACATATTGCGGTATGTAAGAAACTCCACCAACCATCAAATTTAGGGAATGAGTCTACTGGTCAAAATTGCATAACTCAGGAAGGTTTTCGTGAGAAATTAGCTATGTGCACAATTTCACATGATTATGTTTTTAGATGTGTTGAACATAAAGGAAATAGAGATGTGCATAGCTATTTGAATAGTCAGGCTAAACCTATTTCAAGGAATACACATAAATCTGACATTGTGAAGATCCATGAAAGAATGAAGGAGGAGTTAAAGTCTAGTTTGCAAAAGATTTCTAGTCGTATTTGTTTGACTAGTGATATGTGGACTTCATTGACAACTAGAGGATTTATATGCTTGACGGCTCATTATGTTGATGATGAATGGAAACTGAATAGCAAGCTATTGAGTTTTGCTCATCTTCCTCCTCCACATTCCTCTTATAGAGTGAAGACGACCATTTATCGTATGCTCAGAGAATGGGGTATTGATAACAAGATCTTCTCTATCACCTTGGATAATGCTAGCAATATGACTAACATGCAAAATGAATTGCGTGATCAGTTGAATGGACAAAATGGATTGTTGTGTGATGGCAAGTTCTTTCATATACGTTGTTGTGGGCACATATTGAATCTTATTGTCCAAGATGGATTGAAGGTGATAAAAGATGGTATTAGATCTGTGAGAGAAAGTGTAAAATATGTCGAAGGATCTGAAGGAAGGAAAATTAAGTTCAAGGAATGTGTTGAGCAAAGTGGGATGAAACAAACAAGGTCTTTGTGGTTGGATGTGCCAACAAGATGGAATTCAACTTATAATATGCTTGAGAGGGCAAATCATTATCGTCAAGCATTTGTAAACTTAGCAAGGATGGATTTTGAGTATAATGAATGTCCATCATCTGAGGATTGGGAGAAGATAGAAGTGCTTATAAATTTATTGAAGCCTTTTGATGAAATCACAAAGTTATTCTCTGGAACTAAGTACCCGACTAGTAATCTGTTTTTTGAGAATGTTTGGAAGATTCATCTTGAGTTGAGGCTTCTTTGTACAAGTCTAGATGATGATATACGTGCTATGGCAAATGCAATGATGTTGAAATTCTTGAAGTATTGGAAAGACTACAACTTGGTGCTTGCTTTTGGAGTTATTTTGGACCCTCGTTATAAGGTTGCTTTTGTGAAGTATTGCTATGATAAGTTGGGTGGAGAATATGTTTCAAAAGCCGAGGATGTTGTGGATGATTTGGAGTTGCTTTTGAAAGAATATAAGACTCAATCGGCCACTTCAGCTACTCAAAGTGGTGTGTCTATGAATTCTTCAAGTGTTCCCTTGGACAATTACACTGCTGTAAGTATTTGTTTGTTGTACATTAATGAATTATGTTATTGTGTTTTGGTCTTTGGTTAATTATTTGTTTTGTTTCATGTACATGCTAACTGTAAAGGAAATGATGCACATGCTTATGTGTTAATATCAATGATATCTATATTTATTGTTTGTAGGGGTTTTATGCATCCAATATCAACCACAATACATCAACTAGTTCTGAGTTGCAATTGTATTTGGCTGATCCTTTGATACCTGCATTTGGGGAGATTGATGGAGTCGCTAAGCTACTTCCTTTTGATGTCTTGCAATATTGGAAGGACCATCAATTTCGATTTCCTCACCTCTCTAAAATGGCAAAGGATGTACTTTCTATTCCAATTTCATCAGTTGCATCAGAGTCTTCTTTTAGTTTGGGAGGAAGAATATTAACAAAATGGAGAACTTCGATTTTGTCTGATACTCTTGAAGCTGTTGTGACAACTCGTAATTGGATACGAGGATACCAAATGGGTAAGAAGAAACAAATTGTTATATTTGTATTGAACAAACTATTCTCTTTTTCTTATTATTTTCTTTTCACTGATTAATTGTACAGATGACGATGATGAAGATACGACTCGTGATGGAGAAGAAGTAAACCTTCTAGAGTGATCGTCATTTGGAATGCCAATTTGTCTTTTGGACATGTTTTATTGATATTTGAGGTCTTGAGACAATATGAACTATTATGAATCATGTATTCTTGTTATGATCAGACTTTTGTGAACTATTATTCATCTTTTTTATGATAGAATCATGATATTTGGATTTTAAATCTTATAATTATCTTATTATGCTAAATTAATATTTTATAATGTTATGTGCACTATTAGGTTGATGATGTATCTAAATCAATATTTGATGATGTTATATGCGTTAATAGGTTGATGATGTATTTATTATACTAAGTTAATAATTGATGATGTAATGATCAGATTTTAGTGAACCAGGATTTCAAATGTCAACTTATAGAGTTATAGTTTATCTTCATCGAATTCCTTCTATTATAGTCGGGTTGGTCGGGTTACGGGTTCGGGTTAGTCGGGTTCGGGTTAATCGGGTTGCGGGTTGATCGGGTTGTGGGTTGGTCAGGTTGCGGGTTGGTCGGGTTACGGGTTGGTCGGGTTACGGGTTAGTCGGGTTGCGGGTTGGTCGGGTTGCGGGTTGGACGGGTTGCGGATCGGGCGGGTTACGGGTCATTGACTTTTAGTCAAAATCGGGTTGCGGGCGGGTTGCGGATCGGGTTGATCGGGCGGGTTACTCGGGTCGGGTTACATTTTGACAGCTCTAGTCCTAATACATGCACTTTGTATCTATATATAAAGCAATGTACACTGCTTGAAGAACTTTGATATACCGACAAGAGAAACTGCATTCAATCGGATCGAGAATGATCGATGGCTTGGCCAATTGCATAATGCTCTTTCTTTGCTATCTGGGGAAAGCCATAGATATCTGGGAATGGCAGGCTCATTGAATCATTGACTTCTTCCTTATCATTCCTTCTGGTTTTTCTTTAAGCACAATTTCAATGGTTGTTTGGTCTCCCAAATTTCTAATATTCGATGAAATACATGATTTGTACGCTTATAGTGTTCTTAGCACAAGCAAATGACGGTTGATTTTGTTGCTTCATTCTTGTGGAAGACAAACTTTATCAGTTTGGAAAAGTAGCACAGCACACTTTCTGCAAAAAGCAAAATCTGTTCACAGACCTATAAATCCATCAACAAATAGTACTAAGAACATACATTAATGATGATGCATGGTTACCGCTAGTCTTCGACCACAACTCTTTTTAGCAGTTCTACGACTAATCTTCAATCTAAAGCTCTCACAAACACTCCTAAACTAATAAGTCTTGTTTTCTTAGAGTCATTTGATCAGTCACTTGACTAGGTCCAGATCAGTAGGCGCTAATAACATGCTGGACAGCTTAATTATTATTATATAGTATCATATCCTTGATATGTACCATGATTTCCTCTGCCGTTGCTCTTCTTCCAAGTTCCAACCCAAATTCCTATGTTAATAATTTAAAATAATGGGACATGCTTGCCGCTGGAATTAACAAGTATTAAGTTAGTTGTCATTTCCTGTTTGTTTTCAGGGTTGTGATCAATAAGTACTGTTCATTCTTTCTCTAGATTCCTGAACAAAGAATCAAAGAGAGAAGGCTGTTTGTATGTTGAAAAAATGGCAAGGGAACAAGCAACATGGTGCCAGGTTAAGGTTTTTGTTATTTAACCAATTTGGTCGTGTTAAGAACAAGTCAAGCCAGCACAACAATTAATGTTACTAATCCCACTACCAATCCTCCCTCATTGGCTTATTTTTCTATAGCTAAAAACACAGAGCAAGAACCGTATTTTGTGTGTGTCACAGAGAGACAAAAAAGTATATCATTCATGTACGATACTTATATGCCTAAGTAATTCTATCACTTAATCATGCAGACTCATCTGTCGCCAATCAGTTATCATTCATGTATAATACTTACACGTCCAAGTAATTCTAATCACGCAGTCTCACCTACCGCCAATCAATTTTTCACGAAATGTCATTAATTGATGCAATCTTATCAACCTTTTCTTATTTCGTGGTTGCTAAAATCGAATGCATTTTCCTAATAATTTAAGCAAGATGGGATGGTGAGACATAAGCATGCATTTTCCATTCCGCAAATGTATTTCGAGGACATTCTAGAAAATGTTTTTTTTTTCATATCCAAAAGATATAACATTTTTCTAAAAGAGTTGGAAGTGGAGGAAGAAAAAAATATTAGAGAGTACCTCGATTTATCTGGGTGATAAAAGTCGATAAACTCATATAAGAGCTCTCCAAAACGTTGACCAAAAATTGATATATGGATGATAATATTTACCGCACTGCAGATTCAAATCTTGGATTCAATAAAAAATACATGTAAATTAAGTTAACCTTTAACAAATAACTAGTTTCCCGCTCACCTCTTTGTAAGTCAACTGTAGAGTTTTGATTCCTTGCAGCCGAAAACTGAAGTCCTAAAACACCACAAAACCCTTTAAAGAAATCAAGATGCAAGACAATCGAGAGTAAGGGGAATAGACTTCCATGTTGATGATTTTGTCTTCATACTTTGCCCCACTCAGAAGACTCGCTGAGCCTTCTCAAAAATAAAACAAAATAATAAATAAAAAGAGCAACTTTGCTGCAAGTGTCCCTCTATAAAAGTCCCCTGCATCTGTCTATCTAAACTGCATACCCTCAAAGCAAAAGAAACAATTCCCACATTTCTCCATTCTTCAGCCCCAAGAGCCAAGCTCCTGAAAACCTGCACGAAAAGCCTAGCAAGCAATCCTTATATCATTTTCTGACAAGTGATAATATAACCAGCCCCAGAAAAGAAAAAAATGACCCTGACAAGAAAAGGGGTGTCTCATCTCTTCCAATCCACCAACAAAAGTATCCCTTCTCTCACTTCCTTCTCAGCCTCTCCTTCTCACTTCCCTCCCTCTTCCCCTCTCCACCACACCTTCTCTGCTTCAATGATGGAGGAGGACATTGAAAATGCTGCATCCTTCATCTCCAAGTGGGATCTGGATTCCTCATCCATCCATAAGGTCACTCCCCTTTTCCAAAATAACGAGGATGAGGCCAGCAAGTTCCTGAAATGCGTCAAGGACCTTCGCAGGGCCATGCATTTCTTACTATCACAACATTCCGACCCTGAGAAGCTCGCGATTTGTCAGAAGCTTATCCAGATTGCTATGAGAAGGCTGGAGAAAGAGTTTTACCAGATCCTGTCAGCAAACTGGGATCATCTCAATCCCGAGTCTGTTTCAGGTCAATCGTCATCAGAAGGGTCTTTGAGTAATGTCGAAGACGATCAGGCTGAGATTCGATGTGAAGAAGATGAGTTCATAACTCGTGACGAATCAGTTCTTGTGAGGCAGCAGAGGAGACTTCCAGGAGTTGGTGGCATATCGGATCTCAAGTCCATAGCCGACTGTATGATAACTTGTGGTTATACCAAAGAGTGTGTCAAGATTTACCTACTCATGAGGAAATCCATTGTGGATGAAGGGCTGTACCGGCTAGGAGTGGTGCACTACAAGGCTTCCCAAATCCAGAGGTTGAATTCAGAAGCTCTGGAGAACATGATCAAGAACTGGCTGAATGCTGTGAATCGTGCAGTAAAAAACCTGTTTCTTGGAGAAAAAGTTTTGTGTGGCTATGTGTTCTCAGATTATGAGAGGATCAGAGAGTTGTGCTTCTCTGAGGTGGTTAAAGAAGCAGCAGCTAATTTGTTCAGGTTTCCTGAACTCGCAGCCAAGAACAAGAACCTGAAAAATGACAGAATCTTCCCCCTGATGGACATCTATGAAGCACTGGTTGATCTGTGGCCAGAAATAGAACCCATTTTCAGTTTCGAATCCATCTCCTCTGTAAAACAGCAAGCTCATTCGTCTCTAATGAAGCTAGGCGAGTCAATTCGCCAAACTCTATCCGAGTTCGAATCAGCAATCCAAAAGGACTCGTCAAAATCTCAAGTTCCTGGTGGAGGAATTCATCCCTTGAACACATCAGCCATGGATTACTTATCATCACTGGCGGATTACGGTAGCATTCTTTCAGATATCGTTGCCGACTCTCTTCCAGAGAGCACCTCGAAGCTGCCAGAATCTTACTACGAGAGTCCAACAACAACCTCAGTCGATGCTCCCTCACCAGCGGTGTCAACCCGACTAGCTTGGCTCATCCTAGTTCTCTTATGCAAGCTTGACAGGAAAGCAGAACAGTACAAAGACGCGTCCCTTTCATACCTGTTCCTAGCAAACAACATGCAGTTCATCATCGAGAAGGTCTGCACAACTCGATTAAGGGTCGTCCTAGGCGAGGATTGGGTGTTCAACCATGCCAAGAAGGCCCAGCAATATGCTACCAAATACGAGACAATGGCATGGAATAAGGTCTTCTCATTCATCCCAAGCAAGCCTTTCCCAGAAGAACAATCACCAGAAGCTGCAGCAGAATGTTTTCGGAAGTTCAAAGCAGCTTTCGAAGAATCGCACAGGAAACAGATGTCATGGGTAGTACCGAACAGAAAATTCAGGGATGAATTGAAGGTGTCAATAGCCAAGAAACTCGTACCAGCATATCGAGAATTTTATGATAACTATGTGGTGGGATCGGGAATGCTGAGTGGAGATAGTTTGGAGGTGTTGATGGTGAAGTTTGGTCCAGATGATCTGGAGAATTACCTCTCAGATCTGTTCCATGGTGGTTCTTCATCTGGTAGTTCCTCATCAAACTCATCTCGAGGATGTATGCCACGATGAACTAACAGTAATAGCATATGGTGTAAGAAAATGCATTGATGTATACCAGTTTGACATAAGAAAATGTGCAGCAATAATGTTAATTCTCAATAATTGCAAAGTTTCAATCTTTCACATGGCTAGCCCAATTATGATGCTTGTTTCAATGGATTTGGCTAATATGAATAAGGGCTGGGAGTTGGGACCCTTTAGAAACAATGACATGATTGTATGTCCAGCACAGAGTAAACTCAAAAAGGTCAACAAAAGAACAGAATCATTCATAGCACAAGTATAAGTCGAGCAAGAAAGCCAGCCCCGACTAACGTGAAAACTCAAACGAGCACGTAAGACAAGGAACACAGTTGACTGAGCAAGTCTCGAGATGATCCCACGCGCTATAGTTTTCATTTCATTAATGGGATCGGTCTAATTAGCTCCCCAGGCATAACGAGACAATCACATCTTCCAGTAACCCCATTTTTGTTGGCGCACTGTCGAGTTAGGATCAAGATATCGTTCACTTGGAAGCAGAAGAGAACACACCGTGATCAGCAATACCCATAGATAGGGCAAAGCTCCATTCCATATGAAGAAAACGACGCCCACAGAATTCACAATGCCAGATATGAATGAAGCAAACCCAAAGAATTGCAGCGGAGAAACAGGAGATTATAACCTCGAGATAGCGGATAGATACCATATGTGCGGTTGAATTTTAGGTTCATATGATTCCCAAATCAGCGTCGTGAGAGCTCTCCCTCCCGCTCAAACATTCGTCGATTTTTTTTTTTTTCCATAGGCAAACATTATTTTGCTCGGCAACAAACCCAGTGTACCCCACGAGACAACTGCCACCGGGCCCATCAAGAAAAGATGTTGCGAAGTCTCCAATGGGCCGGGCCCAATGATTTTAATACGTGAACCTTGTTCCTCAAAGCTTTTCCTCACCCGGCCCGGCCGCAGCAGAAGCCCGAGCCCGACTCATCAGATATGATTCCTAGTAATTGTTCAAGAAGCTAATAATCAGTAATACTTTGTCTGGATTATTATTAATGTGGTGCTGAAACTAGGTTACATAACATCATATATCTCCCTCGATCGATGGGCCTTTCCTCTATTACTACTACTACTGCGTATGCTAATGTTCTACAATTCATTCTTCTTGTCGTCGCACTGAAGTTCCTCCACAATCCGTGGAATCATCTGCTGATACATGTATCGGTAAGACTTATCCGTAAAATGCCCAGGACAGTCCCAAAACACGTGCTCGTTTGGATTACTGCACCACGGAGTCCCGTCCATGCCACAATACATGTGGTCTTTATCCCCACAACAAGCCTTTTGCGGATAAACATAACCTATACGTAAATTGCACCACAACCCAAAAAACAACAAGATCGATATCAGCACGTACGTACATGCATGCATGCATGCATGCAATTAGACACAAAAAGTTTACGTCACTGATTCGTAACAAACGTACCAAGAGATTGATAACGGTCCCAGATCCACTGCGCGCCGCCCCAGACATCTCCGTAGGCGAATCGAGCATCGGGGTATTCTTTCCCCAGTTCCTGGAGCTTCCGCTGCAGGAACTCATTGTGAAGCTTGTGAAACTCGTTGGTCGGCTCCCAACAATGGAGGCCTTTGTCCGTCACTTTGCATCCGCCTATGCATCCACCTTGGTACACTCCGGTTGCTATCACTTTGTTTGCTCCGTAGCTTATAAATTTCTGCACGTCCATTCGTCGATCCAGTCGAATTACACGAATAGAGAGTATAATTGTTAGTGTTGTGGTATATGATCCACGATTGAACTGAACCTCTTCCAACAACTCGAGTTATTGGGATCAACTGGTTCTTGACATGGTATCAGAGCCTTCTGTGACCGAAAGGTCTTGTATGTTCGATTCCCGGTGACCCCCATTTGTTAAGCACATGGTATTCTTGTCTTCAAACCTGTGCAAACTTCAAGCCCTTGTGAGTGCCTTTCGTTTGAGGGGGCGTGTATTAGTGTTGTGGTATATGATCCACGATTGAACTTCTCCCAACAACTCGAGTTATTGGGATCAACTGGCCGGTTCTTGACAATAATGAGATAATAAGATTGCACAATTAGGTACGGAACGTACCTTGACAGCGTCAACTAGGGCTCCGACGACGAAAGGCATTATGAGTTTCTTTTGCTCTATATATGGAAGTTTATCATATAGAGGTGAACCGCCCATGGCGCCATAATCATTGCCTCCGCCGCCGATGACGAACAGAGACGACTTCAAATGATCTCGGCGAGCTGTCGGATAGGAATTCGAAGAAATTGGAGATGAATAATTAACCAAGTTTGATCGTGTAGTTAATTAAAAGCAAACATAATTTATATGTGTTACCTTTTTCGTCCTTGAAGTTGTCGTTTAGATGTTGATCAAACCATCGGAGTTGTACGTCAAGAGAGTCATTGGACCATACGAAATTGACATTCCATTCCGCTCGTTCTTCTTTCGAGAGCAAGCCGGTGCCACCGACGGCGAAATTCGCACCCTTGGAGTGATCTAAGCTCTTGTTTAAGTATGGATTACAAAAAGGAAGCCCCGTTGCTTCAGCTGTGAATATTAATGAATGAGCAATAATATTCATTGATCATTAGTTAGACACGTACGTCATAAATGAACACATACACCTAGAAGAAAATAATAATAATAAACAAATGTTGATTCGTAACTAGCTATACAAAATACATATGCATGTTATACCGATATGATCGATAATGAGCAGTCCGTCGCAGGCTCTGCCGGTGGCTCTGCCGATCGTCATGCCCAATGGATAATGCCAAGCGTGAGGGCTTGGGTGTTCTGCCATGGCGTTGCCCGTGTCTGAAAGGGAGTCGCCGAAATTGTAGATCGCTTGGAATCCACACGGTTTGAGATCGACAGCTTTGCACGAGTGAGGATGAACGAGAGAAATAAGTAACAAGAGAGAAGATAATAGCGTGAGCCGTGACTCGAACCACAGCGACATTTGTTTTTGGCAATGTTAAGTAATTTATGCCTACAATTGATCTCGATCTTGAACAATATAGTACTGCTTGATCCTCCAAAATGGACTTGTCTGCTATTCACAATAATTTATAATAATTGTGCTTTCGGTTATTGCAACAAAGAGGATTGAACTGAAGCTCTCTGTCAATTCGGATCACAGATTCATATCTATATTTAGTCATTACTAAATTAGCTAGGAGCTGTTTTGTAACTAGGTGCGTTTAATTCTGAGTGTACGATATCGATATCGTACTAATTTCCTCGGCTGCTATGGTGACACTCCAGCGGCTTAATTATATTCTTCACGCATCTCCTCCGCCATGCTTACTGTTGAATGCCGTGGATGAAGCAGTGAGGAAGGAAAAATCGTCAATATAACGAGGAAGAAACAAAGAGATCCCGCGATGAAAACGAATCTGGTTAGAACAATAGAATCGAACACGGGTCGAGCCGTTGCAATCACAAGGAGATAGACGAAGGGTGAAACAACAAAGAAATAAGTAGCTTTATTTAGCATCTCAACTTTTAGTGAATTCTAAGAAAAAAATTCACAAAAAAAAAATGCATTTCCTCTAACATTCTCATGGTGGCGCGCGGATGGAGAAGTATATATGTGACAGCTCTGAGCGTCACATTCCTCGTGCTGATCCACCACCACGTCCGACAGTCGACTCGTACTGATCTACGTCAATCCAAACAAAAACCTCTCTCAAGGTATCATTTCTATCAAGTTTGGTATGTTACTAATTACCACGTATAGAGTGATCTATGTGTATTTTCCCTTAACCAAGAATAAACTGGGTTTATAATAATGGAACACTTCCCATGTTTGAGACTTTGAGTACACATATCTAGAGTATGATGTTGGGGATCAGAGTAATACTAACGTGATGGGATCGATCTCGAACTCGATCGTTGCTCGAACCCATTATTGATGAAGTTTTCATGGACAATAAGATATAGCACGAAATAAAAACTATTGATCAAATGCATTTCCCACCTCCGCTGCAGCAGAGGGCGGCTCATCAGAAAAAAAATCTAGTAATTATTTAAGTAAGAATTTGCTTGGATTACTAATTAATAAAGTGTTGCAGAAACTAGCAATTGATCACCACATTAAGGTTACATAAGCATTAATTATCTCTCGATCTATCTGCCTTTTTTTCTTCTTTTTCTAGTAGCTAGCTAGTGTAAGGTTTGGGAGAACTGTGTGTTTGTATTATTGATGATAAGGGTATTTATACCCAGAACGTACACGAGCAGAAGCACAGATCAAGTACAACAATGAGATGGACTCAACTCTATACAAGGAATACAAATCATAAGAGAACTAGGTTTTCTCCCTAATACGCCCCCGCAAGATGGACGCGGCATCTGCAAGACCAATCTTGGAGGTTAAGAGACGAAATCGTGTGGCAGGAAGAGCTTTGGTGAGCAAATCCGCCAGCTGAGAGGCGGTAGGCACATGACATAGGCGAAGAAGCTTGGAGGTGACCAGCTGACGTACAAAATGGTAATCAAGCGCCAAGTGCTTCATACGCGAATGGAACACAGGATTAGAGCTGAAGTGGACAGCACCAAGATTGTCACAAAACACGGTCGGAGCTTGAGGCAGCGGGTAGCACAGCTCCTTGAGTAAGTTCTGGATCCAAACAGTCTCCGAAGTGGCCAAGGCTAGGGCGCGATACTCAGCCTCCGTGCTGGAGCGGGCAACAGTACGCTGCTTCTTGGACTTCCAGGAGATCAACGTGTGACCAAGATAAATAAGATAGCCCGATGTCGAAGTGCGATCATCAAGATCACCTGCCCAATCAGAGTCAGTAAAAACACTCAAGGAGAGAGGAGTAGACTGACGTCGGACATGAAGCCCAATGGTACGAGTCCCAGCAACGTAGCGAAGCAACCGTTTAACATGCTGCCAATGGATAGCTGTGGGTGCATGCATATACTGTGACAATTTATTGACTGCAAAGGCCACATCAGGACGAGTAGTAACCAGATACTGCAAGGCGCCGACAGCTTGGCGATAGAGTGTGGCATCCGCTGAAGAAGACCCATCAGAGGAGGTGAGGCGGGCCGTAGACGTCAAGGGAGTAGGGGCCGAGTTTGCCTCATGCATTTGGAACCTGGTCAAGACATCATTTATATATTTGTGCTGGGACAAGACAAAGCCAGAAGCTGTAGGGATAACCTCAATGCCAAGGAAGTAATGAACTTGGCCCAAATGCTTGAGGGAGAAACTTTCCGATAGCTTAGCTTGAAATGAGGAAAGGAACTCGGCATTGTTGCCAGTTAGGAGTAGATCATCAACGTACATAAGAAAGTATGCCAGTATACCGTGTCGGGAGTAGACAAACAGAGAAGCATCCGAACACGTCTTGACAAAGCCGCAGGAGAGCAGGAACGCACTGAGGGCATCATACCACGCTCGTGGTGCTTGTCGAAGGCCGTAAATGGCTCGTCGAAGCCGACAAACATGATTGGGTCGTGCCGGATCTCTGAAGCCGGGAGGCTGTTCCATGTAGACTTCCTCCTGGAGGGGCCCTTGAAGAAATGCATTATGCACATCATACTGATAAATCGGCCAGTGAGAGGATAGAGCAAGAGTGAAAACGGTGCGGACAGTGACCGGCTTGAGGACGGGACTGAACGTCTCATGAAAGTCAACGCCTGCACGCTGGTGAAACCCTTTAGCTACCAGGCGAGCCTTGAACCGCTCGATGAGACCATCAGGGCGCCACTTGACACGAAAGATCCACCTACATCCAACAACATTATAGTGCGAGAGACGGGGAACAAGATCCCAAGTGTAGTTGGCGAGCAGGGCACCATGTTCAGCTCGAAGTGCTTGACGCCACTCCTCGTATTGCATTGCCTCTTTCACAGAACGCGGCTCAGATGGTGGAGAGTCCTGCAAAGTAGTGGCATGAGCATATTTTGGGTTAGGCTTAACAATGTTGTTTTTAGCTCTGGTAGTCATGGGGTGCCGATGCTGAGCGTGTGGAGGGGAAGGTGGCTGCACAGGTGGCGAGCTCGCTGGGGAAGAGCCTGCCGGAGAAGAAGAGACCGGTGACGGAGGGACTGAGTCATGCCCCCGGCCGCGCTGTGTGGCATAAGCAGTAGCTGGGGAGTCGATGGAGGAACGATGAGCACGAAGATCAGCCTCGAGGGTTTGGAGTCGATCAAGGAGATCTTCAAGTCGAGGAGGCACATCCCGAGCCCTAATGCCGGCAGAGAATTCTTGATATTCAGCACCAAGGCCACGGAGACAGATAGTGACGAGTTCCTCATTGCGTACGATTTCACCGGCGAGGGCAAGTTCAGCTGCACGAGAGCGAAGGGTCTGAATGTAGGTGGCCACATCGCGATCTCCCTTCTTTTCTCCATGGAGACGATCACGGAGAGTCATGATCCGGGAGTAAGAGGTACCAGCATACGTGCTCTGGAGAATATCCCAAGCCGCCTTGGAGGTCTCGGCAGATGAGATAAACGGGCAGATTTCGGGAGATATCGAAGCAAAAATGCCATTGAGTAAGAGTTTATCTTGACGGAACCAGTGGGTGTATGCCGGGTTCCGAGTCTGAACGTTGTTGACAAGGACTTGCTCGGCAGGAGCGACAATGGTGCCATCGATATAGCCATGAAGATCGAGGCCATGAAGAAGAGAGAACAACTGCGCTCTCCAGCTGGGAAAATTGGTGGCGGTTAGCTTGAGGGGAAGAGAGGCAGCCGGATTGAACGTCACCAGCTGCGGTTCAGAGGGCGGGACAGAGTCAGAGCCAGTAGAGCCGATCGAGACGGTGGAGTCGTCGGCCATGGCGATGAACACAGCAAGAACAGGTCGGAAAAAAACTAGGGTTCGTAAACCTGCTCTGATACCATGTAAGGTTTGGGAGAACTGTGTGTTTGTATTATTGATGATAAGGGTATTTATACCCAGAACGTACACGAGCAGAAGCACAGATCAAGTACAACAATGAGATGGACTCAACTCTATACAAGGAATACAAATCATAAGAGAACTAGGTTTTCTCCCTAATAGCTAGCAGAGTATCAGTACTGCTACAAGTCTACAATTCATTCTTGCTGTCGTCGCATTTCAGTTCCGCGGCAATCTGTGGAATCATCTGCTCAGATAATGAGTAGCCCGGCCGTCGCAAAATCTGCCGGTGATTTCGCCGATTGCCCATTGGATACTTCCAGCCTTCAGGGCCCGGGCGGGTTGCCATGGCGTTGCCCGTGTCTGAAAGGGAATCTGCGAAATTATAGTTCGCTTGGAATCCACACGGTTTGACATGCATCGACAGCTTTGCACCAATGAGGATGAACGAGGAAAAAGAAGTAACAGCAAAGAAGATGACACTATGAGTGGAGACTCAAACCATGTAGTTTCTATCCTAAAAAGTAAAAATAAAATTAACACTTGTTTGTGAACAAGAATTTGTTTGTTTCTTCATAAACATCCGATATAGAATTAGAACGCTAGAATTTGTTTACACAATTCAACTGAGAAAAAGAAATATGTTTACACAAAACCTCTTTCCACAAAAGATCCCTTAGCTAGCTCTGCTATTTCATATTTGTGCAAAATGATCATATAAAAAATTTATTTTACGTGAAATGGTCTTAAGGAATTGTAATAAATTATTGGTGGATTAATCAATTTGAGAAATATTACAATAGATATTTTGCACGTTCATTTTGGTACCTTAATTTTACTTTTCTTATCTAAAAATAGTACCCTTCAAAAATCACATTTTACGACCTAAATTTATTCACATTATGCTTTAGTTCCTAAGATATTTATATTCTATAAAATGGTCCAAAGGTTAAACGCCATTTCAATCTATAGAACTAATCAATAAATCTACAAATCCACTCCATATCCCATCCACGAACTCACCACCTCTATTGACTCATAGTGTTAGTTAGCTTATACGAGCATACAATTAGGATATGTAAAATGAAGCACATAGTTAAAATGTGATTTGTCAATGTCAAAAGGTTCCATGCCACCGTTGGTCAGCACATGGGATATGTCACCCCACGATTGGAATTACATTGCCAAATCCATGCTTTTTTTTTTCTCTCGTTCGAAAGTCAAATTCATGCCTTTCTTGATTGAATGGTTACTTTTTAATTTTATAATTAAAAGGGCTAATAATATCAATTAATTTATAAAAAATTAAATTTATTAATAAAAGGATGAACAAAAAAAGTACAATTATTAAACATTCAATCAAGAAAAAGCATGGTTATGTTTGTGTATTACCCTTATAATAATTAGACTATGTATGCTGGAATCATGGACGACTTTTTGCTCTTCTTATATTTGGTCAACTTGTATTTGTAACGTAGACTTTTCTTTTTTGTCGGGAAATTTGTGCCGTCGGCTTTCAGCTTTTGATATATAAATAAAAACAAATGGACTACTGGTACTATTTTATTTTTATTGTCCATCAGCGGCCGCCGGGACCATATATGTTATCGCCGGAACATGCATGGTAGCATGTGCATACTTGTATAGCTAGCCTAGCTAGCTCAAATTGTATCGAATCCAGCAACTCATCACGCCAACATACAAGCCCTGCAGTTAGATCTGTATCAAAGTCAAAGTCCAAGAAACCGTTATACGTAAGATAGAAGTTTGGGTTATGTTTAATTAGTGTCTAGCTCGCATTGCTAATTAAACTCTCATCAACACCACAAGATGACATAGCGGATTGGGAGATAAAATGATGTTCTAAAAAGGCTCGTCTGTCAGGAAAACGGTATGGAGAGAATCGGATTGAAGGCGTGATTAATCACTCTCCTTAGAGTGTTATTTGCCCCCACTACAAATTGCTGGTAGGCTCGAGCAAACCACCCCCAGGAGTCCCTTCAATTCTAAGTCTGGAAGTAGCAATCTTGCAGACTTCTGTGGTTATGAAATAGAGAAGGAAAACGGAAGAAGAAGTAATCTCTCGTCATTAAAAGAGTTATGGCAGTCATTTATTTATAGTTGTGAAACTGGAAGTTACCTTCCGAAGAGACATCCTTTCACATAAAAGGTAGTTACATTTCCCGAAAGGACACATCCTTTCATAGAAAAAAGGTAGTTACCTTTCCCGAAAGGACACATCCTTTCACAATATTCAAACGTTAATGAATTAATATAAAAATTAATTAATTAATTAAACTGCCAAAAGACTCCATCTTTATACTTTACTTCTCCCATAAATTTCGTATTACAACTCTATTGACTAACTCTAACAATCCCCCACTTAGTCAACAAGAGTTGAGAATACCTGCATCGAACAAGTAACGCATACATAAAGGTATCTTTTTGATTTGAACCTTTACCTAGTGTAAGCAACTCAAAGTTCATAACGAATCAGTGACGGGCTTAAGCCTAGGAGTCACGATCCAAAGCTATAACCGGAGATGCCACACACGTACTTGTCTCTTCTCTAAATCACAACCACCAACTAGGGTAGCACTATTATGGCCATGTGCTAATCCTGTTTCATGAGCATACACAAAAGTTGACCTCTACTTTTGTTAGAGCGGCACCACTCTAAATGCTCACATAGGTGACATTCCAAATGAATTCATTAAGAGTTCTATAACTCACCCTTCTTTGGACTAATTTACTTGTACAATAAATTAGTGCCTCTGTTAGAGTAACTTGTTATTACCACATTGAACCTTTTAATTAGTGAATACCTAAAGAAAAGGTTGGGTTCCCGTTACTTCTAACTACACAAGAGGTCTCAATCCCTTCCCTTAGGATGTCTCATAGATCATGCCTCTTGGCAATCCTTTGGTAAGAGGATTTGCCACATTATTGAGCGACCTTACATACACAATAGAAATGATTACATTAGTAATCAAATATCTAACGTGTTCATGTCATAGGCTAGTAGCTCTAGACTGACAATTGTAAATCTGTTATAAGCTCTCGACAAAGTAGCCTCACTATCACAAAAGACAGAAATGGCTGGCATCGGTTGTGGCCACAACTTTGTACTTAACAACATGTCTCTTAGCCATTCTGCCTCTTTTCCAGCCGTCGCAAGGACTAGAAATTCATCTTCCATGGTGGAGTGTAATACACATTTTGTTTCTTCGAAACCCAAGAAACAACTTCACCACATAGTATAAAAATCTACCCATTGTAGATTTATTATCACTAGCACTTGTTATCCAACTATCATGAGAAACATCTCCCCCACATTCTCCCATTTGCCAAACTATCATGGAACAATTCTATTTTATTTTCCATTACTTATTGAACTTTCAACCGCTACATTGATCTAATTGTTTACCAATGGTATGGACTTATCAAGTTAGCATACCACAAACAATTCAGATATTATTAGAAAATCATCTAATTACTTACCAATGGAATTAGTCAAGGTAACTTGAGATGCCACAAGTAATTCAGTTGCATTTCCAGATTGTATTGGAAATACCATCTAATTACTTACCAATGACAATAATCAAGGTAACTTAACATACCACAAGCAATTCAAATGAATATTCTAAATCAATGGTCTAATTACTTACCAATGGTATGCACTTCATAAATATACCATAAGTAATTCAGACTTTAAGTTTAATACGACCATCTCATGCCAAATTGTTTTCCAATAGTATAGTGTACATATACACAAACAATTCTGGCAATGATTATTTTGATGATCACCATCGTTTGGCAAGCTTTTTCAATCCCTATAAGGATCCATCTTAGTTTCATTTTCCTTGCCCTCATGGCTATGAAACATGAAGTCATAAACCAATACATGATAAACAAATTACTATGTCGGGGGAAACGCTTTTAACCATTATTTCAATTTACTTCAAGATCACAAATTAAACAATTTTGTTACATAAACCAAATTGTAGTATCTTGCAAGCACCGTAATTGAAACTCATACAAATTTTGGTGACAAAATTTGTTTAAAAAATTCAACGTATATTCCTCAAAATTCAAACATATTTGAATTTCTCTAAACTCTTATCATAATATGAATTATGAGTTTGTACTCATCTCAAATATTAGTATACTACAAAAGTATTTGATATCACTTAACCAAACCAAAGCGGTTATCCGATCACCAAATTGATTCTCAATCAATCTTCATCTATGCCAAACCATGTTACATCGTAAACACGGAAACACCAATTACCATGCACAGTGATTCAAAAGCAGACGTTGCATTCAAACATTGAACTAATTAACAAGGCTTAATATACCATCATCACACGTTACATTGCCTTGGTTAATTAATCATGCCATTCTCTCTTTCTTTGCTTCAATCGTAGAAACAGAAGAAATATATGTACATACAGCAACCTGCCAACCTTTATATATAATATTTAGTTTGCTTTATCAGCTCTTGACAGTAACATGTATGAACGTAATCATACAATTAAATTGTTACACTCATATATTTCATTTGGAGAACCAAATCCGAGTATAAACCTTAAAATGAGAGACAACCACTATATATATATTTTCATTCCCCCACAGAAACACACGATAAAATTAAAGCACTTTATCCATGCATGAAAGGCACAAATTGCATTGCATGATGACAGTTGCTTTCCAGAAACATTTGCATGGTAATTAAATTGACCAATTACGAATGGTAACAAAAGAAACAGGGGCAAGAGTCTTACCTTTCCCAATGACCGTCGAGACTCGAGTGTCACATTTCCTCTTCGGAACCAACCATAGTAAAGGACAATGATAACTGATATGATATTGAATACCACACGCACGAATCTATGATTCGAAATCCATTTGTGAATAGAATAAGCCTTCAATTTACTCTCCACTCCAGAATCCATTTTTCAAGAAAATAACACTCTAAGATTGTCAGGAAAACGGTATGGAGAGAATCGGATTGAAGGCGTGATTAATCACTCTCCTTAGAGTGTTATTTGCCCCCACTACAAATTGCTGGTAGGCTCGAGCAAACCACCCCCAGGAGTCCTGTTTTCCGGCGAGGAAAATCTGGTGTTTGATTTCAATCAATGCACCTTCGACTTCTTGAACAACGATTCTAAACACGGTTCACACCTCTCCGAACAATGTTCGAACGAGGGTGTTTGATGTTTTTGATGGTTTTTTGGGGAACAAGCTACGTTACTCTACTCCTATGGAGGTTCAGTGAGAGCTCCGAAAACTAAGGCTATGGCTAATTTGCAGAGAAAAAGATAAAGTTTGACATAGTGTGTCAAATGGTTGGTTGTCGAACCCCTGCTTCTTCTTCGTTTCTTCTATTTATAGCCACTAGGTGTAACTGCCTTGGTA